ATGTCATGTCATAACTTGTTACACTTAATGTCATGTCTTAACTGTTGCACTTAATGTCATGTCTTAACTGTTACACGTAATGTTATGTCTTAACTGTTACACTTATTGTCATGTCTTAACTGTAACTCTTAATGTCATGTCTTAACTGTTACACTTAATGCCGTGTCTTAACTGTTACACTTCATGTCATGTCTTAACTGTTACACTTAATGTCATGTCTTAACTGTTACACTTAATGTCATGTCTTAACTGTTACACTTAATGTCATGTCTTTATCCTATTTTTCACAGTTATTGTCTGGTGTGATAAAAACGTCTTGTGTACGCTACCCTCTATGACATGTCCAAACTATTCCGGTTATTACGGGGCGTATTGCAAATATATTTAAAGGTGATCTAACCCAGCTTTTGCGATTATCACTAGATTAGATACAATCGGGACCAATGAATGACGTAAATTTTGTACCACAATGGTGGTTGTGCTCTTTGAATGAGAAAACTAAAGATGAACGTCACTGCGCGACAGTTAGCTGTGTTTCTTATGAATATGATGAAATTCTATTACATTTCACGAAGGCAGTCTACAATGTCAGTGACGGGGAGATAGGCCTACACCAGTCACGACCCTACAGCATGCTGATATTGTATTGTATCATATTGAAATCTGCTCACGTCACGGGAAGGAAATAGTTGTAAACAAGATTAGCTTGCTCGCGCACACCAATCGGGGACATGGGTGAAACAAAATGTGAAAAGTTGTATAACTTAGGCGTATCAGGATCCGCTAATCATGGGTGTGAACTTATGTTCTCTCATTAATCATGATCATCTTTGCTCATGGTTTTAATTGATGTAATCGATGTTTATTGATCACAGAAATATAAAGCCGAAATGTGACGCACAGGTGTTAATATACCAACTCACTAAAACACTTACTAGTTCAGCACTCGACGAGAAAAAAATGAAAAGGTCCCGGTTTAGTTAGGAAGCTCGAACATTACAAATGTAGTATAATGGTCTTTTGGCAGTCCATCCATCGACTCAGCCTGCCATCGACTACACTCAAACAATGATCACCTTTTCGATCAAGCGCTGATTTAGTGTCGATTGATTTTAAAACAGGGATTGGGGGCGAAATTAAAGCACAGGCCTCCTGAAAAAAGGAATTGAAATCTGTGGAGCAAGCACCACAGGCCTTCCTTGTCTGTTTAGGAAGATGAAGATGTGGACAGAAGTGAGGAAGCGTCAACAGTTGACTTTGGGGGATCTTTGCTATCCAAGGCTGTTTACTGAACACTGGCTGAACGCAGGGATGTAATATCCTCTGGTTATCCACGGCAAATTACATTAGCATCATCAGGAGAATTGGAGACCCGTATACATCAAATGTTTGCCAGACATATACCAATTAAAGTGATGATATTAGCATTAGAAACTTCATCGGTTGTAAGCTGTTCTGTCATTAAGGCAATGAGAGTTCAATTTGTTTATTACTGGGACGGTTATGTAGTTGGTCTCCGGTGGGTTAGCGAACCGAAGTTTAGATGTGGAATATAAAAATGTATATTCAAGCACGTCATAAATGGAGGTTCTTTATTTGGAGTAGACAAGTAGGACTAGTCTGGGCTGTTGTCAGAGTGGGTCAGTGTGTGAGGGAATACTCAGGGGTGTATTGATGCTGCTGCTCCTGCTGCTGCTGCAGGACATCAACACCACACCAATAATAATTGAGTGAGTTTGGTTTGACGCCACTTTTAGCAATATTCCAGCAATATCGCTGCGGTGGACACCAGAAATGGGTTTCACACATTGTACCCATGTAGGGAATCGAACACGGGTCTTCGGCGTGACGAGCGAACGCTTTAACCACTAGGCTACCCCACCGCCCTTACATCAACAATAAATATGCTAATAATGTGGCAATGATGATGACGATAATGACTAATAATAACTGTAATAGTAGTGTGGGTGAATTAGGTTTAACGCACCTTAGTATTCCCGTTATATATTGATGTAGGAGGAAGGCCCAAATTGGTGGAGGATGAACGTGGTAATTACCAACAATAGTTATGACCATAACGCGGTCATACAAACGCACCACAATAATAACAGGCAATAACAACAGTCGGTACGGAATCAACTTGTTACTATGTATTCTCTAAACAACATCAATTAGCTTGTTTACAAACGACTGGCTTCTGGGATCGCGATCGTGACACAGACCTAACTGCCGGTAGTTTGTTTATAACCAAGGTGACGGGGAAAGCATTAGGCGTTCACTTACATTCCACAATGATAGCAGTATGAAATTAACTACGGAAGAATAGTATTGCCGACTTCGTTGAGGTCAGGAATATCGTTAGTTATAGAGGAAGGAGTGTGCAGGATCATCTCCTAAAACGTAATAAATTCCAGTCACTGAGGAAATAAATCAAAAAGCCTTGAACTTAAGGCAAATAAACAATGACTGGTCGATGTTTGCACTACTGGGGATAGCTCATCACAAGGCTAATTAGTATTTTCAAGTGCTGAAATAATCTGTTCTTGCAGATACATTTATCTTAACAAACATAATTAGTATAATTCGAAGATTAGTTATCTACGCTGCGGCCTGATTTGTTACATGGAGAGTGAAAGTATCAAGGCTATTTCCGTTTCCCGATTCTAAACCTGGTTTTAAGAAGCTGGAGTGTGTAAGCAAAGGGCAGCGTGTGCCTGTGTGGAAACCAGTATAAATAGGCCAAGCCGTGCAGCAATACCCAGTTTACAACTCACGGGACTTGCTACAAAAGTACTTATTGTACATGGGAGTTCTTTATCCTACAGTTACAGCTGGGGAAGTCATGATGGGAGAGAAAACTACTACCTACCTACCGTGTTGAAGACACTGTCGTTGGTAGGATATACATTGGGCAATGGGACCTAGGCAGGTCCTGCTTTCCATTGTAGATGCGAGGTCGATTTATTCTCCGTGATGGTGGCGAATGATTTTTAATGATAGAACATCACTAGAAACTGCTTACCCTTTTTGCGAACACCTGGTGTCATCACTGATTCCCAGTGATGCATTCATATAATTAACACCCCTGTTTTATCTTTGACGCCCAGTAAGATCTGTGTTGATGATGGAGCTATTCTACAGTGTTGTGGTTTGATACAGTGTTGAATATGGGTGAGTCTCTCCATGAACTGTCGATGATGATGGAGCTGTTCTCTAGTGTCACGGTTTTATATAGTGTTGAATATGGGCGAGTCTCTCCATGAACTGTCGATGATGATTGAGCTGTTCTCTAGTGTCACGGTTTTATATAGTGTTGAATATGGGTGAGTCTCTCGATGAACTGTCGGATGATGATTGAGCTGTTCTCTAGTGTCATGGTTTTATATAGTGTTTAATATGGGCGAGTCTCTCCATGAACAGGTCGGATGTTTTAGTCTAATTACCGTTGAATCGCTCCATGAATTGGCTTATGCTGAATGTTTATCATAATCGAATAACTCCATGAACTGGCGTTTGTTTAGCTCTATTTACGATCGAATATCAATATTTATTGGTGTTTAATGTTAGCTATGATCGATTCTCTCCATGTAACAGCGAATATTTGATAAATCTAATTATCTCTTAATAAATTTGGTGAATGTTTCATTCTCATTTTGATCGAATCGCTCCATGATTTGGCGTGTGTTAAATATTGATTATTGAGCAACTCTTACAATACTTGATGGTTTAGTAACGGTCTTCGCAATCCACTTGTGAGACCTTTTGATGTTGCATTGATCCAGTGGAAATAGTAGAGATAGAACTGCTGGTTCGTCAAGAAGTTTTTGACACTGATCTATGCCAATACTCAAAGGAATGGTGTATCATCTGGAAAACTACATCCCCAATCGACATGTCTTTCGATGACACATGGCCACCAAAGAAGAATATCCATAATACAATTAGATCAAACTATCCTATAACCTATAAAACAAATATCTGTTGATAACACATGACCACCCAAAAGGAATATCAATAACACACTTAGATAAAAACTATCCAAAGAAACAAATATCTTTCGATAATAAATTACCACTCCTAAACTAATATCAATAACACAATTAGATAAAAACTATCCTATGAGACAAATATCTTTCGATAATGCATGATCACCCCAAAAGAATATCAATTACACTATTAGATAAAACCCTAAATATCGTTCTAACATCGTTGGCATCAATCGTTCCCTTGGTATAATCCTATTTCCATTCCATCATGTGAGAAACAACCACCTGGTGTTAAGGTCCAACCTACAATACTGTCAGATGGAGTAGTGTTTATACAAATCCACATGCCCGTGAGCCCACACTACCATTCATGCATATCCACGAGACCATCAACACGTGTTGCTACCAACAGAGCTTAAGAACCAGGAAGTGATATATGCAGCAGGAAATGCTTGTATATTTCATGTGTTCCGTGCCTGAAGCAGACACCTGATTGGGAGGTTACTGCAACTGACATAGTTCCAGCTGATGGTGAAGGGTTGATGACCTACTACCAGACACGAGGTTCATCCGTTTAGGTCAATATGTTTGCACAACCATCTGTCACATCACACTTCAAATGGAATTTTACCATGCCCTAGTTCGATAACTCACACACGTTAAAGTAGGTCTCAGTACCCCAAGTTCAGACAGGCTCCTCAACGGTGTTCAAACTGAAAACGTTCAGCCTACTTATTAAAAATGAATCAGCTGAAACATTACTCTACTTAACATTTAAATCCATTATACGAACTTACGCCTTCGTGCACAAATGTTTAACCACTCATTAATAACTGATTAGCTAAAACATTCAGGCATGTACGATAAACGATTATACCATGTAATAATATCCTACCATCCCATGTCGACATGTGCAACTTGTTGTAAACATATAAATAACGATATTTTAATATTTGAGATTTGTCTGTTTTAATCTCCATGTTTGAAGTACATTGACGTGGGTTGTCTACTCACCAGCTTGTCCCCCGGGACGAGATCGACGTTGGTCCTTCCTGCTGGTGTTATTGCCCATGTTTACAGTCGGGATATACTACCTCCGTGTATTACACCTGTTTAGGCTTCCTCTAATCGGCATGGATAGTAAATGTCCTTTCATGAATCGGCACACAACATTCACACAGCTATGGACTCTCTGCCTATATATTTAGTCCTAGTGACGTGAACGGTTTTACAATCTGAGCGATAGCCCAGGCAGTTACGACGATGTAACTGGAGCCAGCGGTGAAGACGCTATCGGGAATTCCTACTGCAGAGGAAAGCCCACAGTCTGGAGCGAACTCTCACACGTGGACTCGTAACTGACAGGAGCAACACGTGCATACGTAATTCACCGACCAATCAGCGTCTTCAACATCACAGAAGGCTTTTGTTTGGCTGCATTGATTTCATCGTACGTACAGCTCGACCTCATTCAACTGGCACGCTCTTCCGGTGTGGGGGTAGGGAAGACTGTAGTTCCGTGTCTGTCTGCGGGGCGAAGGCTTCCCAGCACTCAACCGCTGTGCCTAGTTTATTGGACATAATGTTCATCGTGGGAACTAATATTACAAGCATAAATATTTTACTACGAGTTTTTCCCAGATTAGAATTTCTTCAGGACGGAAGGCAAGAAGTACATATTTATGAGACACACTTACACGATTACATCAGCAAACCATATCGACCGTACACATGCAATTGTATTTTTTATTTTTATTCATTTTTTCAAATTTAGATTCTATTCGATTTGTAACATGTCTGTGTTCAAACCCAGTCATGATGAATTCGATATCTAGGCAAGGCTGACATAGATGATCAAACTCGATCATATTACTCACACGTCAGACACCATCTTGATTCTTCACAGACCACCGCCATATAATTGTTTGATCGGCATTCTACCCAGCTAACACAAAACATTTTCGAAATATTTTCATAAGGTTTCAAAATAATTTTTCAAAAACATTTTCGCCCAAATGTTTTTGAAACGTTATAAAAATGTTTCACAACAAATCATAATGTTATTGAAATGTTTTCAAAATGTTATTCAAAAACGTCATGCTATAACATGGGTGAAACTGTTTCATAACATGTCTTTGAAATGTTGTGCAAGAACATGTTTAATGAAATATTGTCATCACGTTTTAAAAACATTGTGGACACATTCATGACATATCATACAAATAATGTCTAAATATCTCAAAAATACTGAAAATGTTTTTGAAATGTTTTCCAAATGTTTTTCAAAAACGTCATGCTATAACATGTTTGAAACTATTTTACAACATATAGAAGTTGGTGAATCAAAAATGAAGCTTACAAGCTTGTGGATGACAACTTCTTGTTTATTGCATAGAGCGACCTTTCGGTGTAGATTCTTACACCGTTATCAAGCTAACAGTAACTACAATATAGTCGGAACCGTCCAATCGACTCTGATTTTAGCACCGTTATGTATCTGGAGAACTGCCAGGTGCGGCGTTAAACAGAAGCGACAGAACCATTTCCACAGCCACAAGAAATAACTGCTAAAATCAGAGTGGATTGTGCAGTTCCGACTATATATTGAGCATGTGTTTGTTTGTTTGTTGAACGCCTCACTCCGCAATGTTTCAACTGCTTGACGACGGTCTGTAAATAATCGAGACTGGACCAGACAATCCAGTGATTGACATAAAGAGATAACAGAGCACGTGTTTATGATTCAATAGTGATGACAATAACCAGCATTTACATATGCAAGAGCTAGACAATTCTTCACCTTAAAAACTTCGGGAACGTACGATACTAGACTAAATAGGGAATCGCATCGGAAATAACAAACAATCTGGGATAAAGATAAAAACACATACAACATTGGAACGGATATATTGAATTGACTGGCTTGCTGTTATCACACTCGACACACTGGTACATAGGCATCGTTTGTGTATTATTCATAATATATCAGCTGTTTATATAATACATCTATCTTTAGATTCCAACTGTCCTTCACTCTCTGACGTAGAGTCGGCAGTTAAAGGAATTACGTCGAGCGCACAACCCTGAGAACATAATGAACGACGAAGAAAAGACCGAGCTACGTCAAATCTTTATTGTCATATCGACTTAGTGTTGTGTCAACGAGCAGCAGGGAAATGTCATGTTCTATTTGTGGACAAAGCCTCCTCTTGCTATGTATTTTAGGGAATCGTAAAAGTTATTTTGATATAAGTGTAGGTTTAAAGCACAGAACCTATTGGATATTTTATCGAGTATGATTCATCGTTTAACCATGTTTCGCGTCTTGCCGATAGCTTCTGGCATAAAATATTTAGACATGTACATTGATACCAAACTACATATTATTATTTATACCTTTCGGACGTATTTCGGAGCAGCGACGAGAGATCCGTTAAATGTCAATATTATTGTTGCATTTAAAATGGATATTTAATACGGAACCTTATTTACAAGCCGGATAGAAAATGTCAGGGCTGGAATTTACATCTCATGTTCAATTTTTATTTAAATTTGTAATGTGAAAATTGTCGGGAAACATATTAGAATATACAAATGGAAAGAAGTTCCACACAAAATCGCCCCTGGTGTATTTTCAGAAAGCGTAACTGGTGTTATAATACCGTAAATGATCCAATAGGATAAATGTTGAGATATTGATTATTCAAGGCAAGAACTGGCACGTAATGGTTTATCATCCACATGAAATGTCAGCTCGCGAAGATCGAAAGGTTGAATGTTTCTTTGGCAGACTTACTTTTTATCCCGTTTTTAGAGGTTATATATGTCAGTCACATGTTATGTCAGAATGTGATCGCCACCGTCACCTTATGTCTTTGTAATCTTACGAACGTTTGACATATTTTAGGTATGTTAGTTATATAAATGTTACAATACATATATGTAATATGCATTGTAATCTTACAACTTTTGATATTTTTTAGGTATGTTAGTTATATAAATGTTACAATACATATATGTAATATGCATTGTAATCTTACAACTTTTGATATTTTTTAGGTATGTTAGTTATATAAATGTTACAATACATATATGTAATATGCATTGTAATCTTACAACTTTGATATTTTTTAGGTATGTTAGTTATATAAATGTTACAATACATATATGTAATATGCATTGTAATCTTACAACTTTTGATATTTTTTAGGTATGTTAGTTATATAAATGTTACAATACATATATGTAATATGCATTGTAATCTTACAACTTTTGATATTTTTTAGGTATGTTAGTTATATAAATGTTACAATACATATATGTAAAATGCATTGTTTCAAGGATTACGGGTATTCCTCGTATTCTAGGTAGTAGCGTGAAAAGGGGCGGTGGGGTAGTCTAGTGGTTAAAGCGTTCATTCGTCATGCCGAAGACCCGGGTTCGATTCCCCACATGGGTACAATGTGTGAAGCCCATTTCTGCCGTGATATTGCTGGAATATTGCTAAAAGCGGCGTAAAACCAAACACACTCACTCACTCATTCACGTAGCGTGAAAAAAACTTGTTTAACGCCAGCTCGAAGGGATCGACAGTGGATCGTGAAATGTGGTCAGAACCAGGACACGATCGCTGGGACACGATTGATAGGTCGTGGGTGTAAGGCCTAGGCCGAATTGTCGGACATTCAAAGAGTACGTTTGCCACTTCTTTCCCAAAGTCATTACTTGAACATATTCAGATTCTATTCATCGAGTAAGATGACAATCTTATACAAACGAAGGTTAGGATGACCTGCGAAGGAGCACCGCATTTAGTTGTTAAACAGAGAGACACATAGTCCCTCAGTAGAAGTATCTCTAACTAAAAGAATGACCTTATATGAAATTGAATTAAATTTTATAAATGCCATCCTAAGGGCGCAGATCGAAAAAGTATCACTGATACGACTGGAAGACTGGGTGAAGGTCAAGGTAAATCTGCATATAATTTTGTTATTACGTGAGACATTTATTGTCAAACTGCATCTTGTTTGTGTTTCCTTAAACAGGAAGGGATGTCATTACCCTGCAATGCATACTACCCATCAAAATTTTAGACTCACTTAAAGCACTCACTATATGTTATGTATATATATGTGGTTACATCGAAGATGAATTTCTCCACTAACTTAGGGGAACAAACTGTAAACCTTATGCAGATGAATTGCACGAGGATCATGCATCAAATTGCTGAAAAGCATGTGCAAGTATCTTGCTTGTGAACAGCTGCGTTTTGGCGTAACGTTTTGTTAAGAATTCGCCAATTTTCACTGAGTTTCATCATTTATTGAACTCATGACAATAACCTTTTCAACGTTACAAATTTGTTTTACAATACATCAGTTCATGTATAAACAGTACCTTTAAACAGTATGGAATATTTGGCAAAATCTAGTTCAGAACAGTTGACTGAAGTAAGTGGCTACATTTAGTGAGTCTAAACTTTTGATGGGTAGTATATATTTTTAGTATATTTTCTTTAAGGCAGGAAGCGTCGTGGGACTATACTGTTCCAAAACCGCATGGCATATTTAATGGCACAGTTCACACTCCGGCGCAGTGATGACTTAGCATAACATCACTGCCACAGGCTAATTTGCATATCACGTGACCGGACTTTTCTCTCGTTTGTAAACAAACGCATATTCATATGAAGAGACTGGCCTTAAGCAAGCTTTCTGCGCGCTCTTAACAATGTTTTACGTTGTTACATTTATATTCTTCCACAACTACGGCAGTAAGGTTTATGACAGTACATATTTAGATATCAAACTGGCTGCATCGTTTGCTCTCCGTTGGCTTCGATGACAGAACGTGGAGCTGTACAACCTATGTAAACAAAGGATCGCTACGCAAATCGAAATAGTGTTTCACGTTTTAGGATATTTTCTCAGTGAAACTAAATCATTCTATCAAAGATGTTTAATTAGACGTTAATTAGAGTTAAGAAATATGTACATTATATTGAATGGACGGTGCAAGATGTGACGAATCGTCACATCTTTCTGGCCTGTGGCAGAGGTACTATGCTGGTTGGCGGCATGGAACTCTGGGTAGGAGAGTGGGCACAGTTGTGTTACGAAACCGGAAGTGAAGATATTAAACCGGAAGTCATTACAACACTATTAAACAGGTAGCTTCAGACACGGGGCTTTCTGTTTTTAAGCTTAAGGCTATCATTTGGCTAGTGGTTCACCAACCGGAAATGAGAAAATTGAACCGGAAGTCTACCTGACTTTCTGATTAGGGTTGTAGGTCCTGTGTACTAAAAGGGATCAAGCAACAACGCTGCACAGGAAATACATTTAGGTCCGTCGTATTTCGA